GCCAGCACTACCGGCTCCAGTCCTCTCTGGTCCTCAGGATCATCTCAGAGGTAAGTGTGACTAATCCAAGTACAGTTAATTCAGGGTGAAGAACGTTCAGCCCGGTAAGGGTGAGTGCTTCCCCAGACCACACGGCCAGCACATGGCAGGGCCTCAGTTTGAAACCTCATCCGCTGCTTCCAAAGCCCCAGATTTTTCCACTACACACACTGCCCCCCAGGGTCCAGGGTCAGGAGCTGGTCTGCCCTGTGCGAGTGGCCTGATAACAGAGGAGACTGGAATGGGAGTGATGTCCCAGCCTGCTGTGCCCTTCCCTCCTTGTCCCACCCTGTGACTACCCTGTGACCACTCCCACCTTACATGGCTCCTGGCCACTGCCCTCAGCCCTAGGACATGTGCAACGGACCAGCCCTGGCTTCCTCCCCACCTCAGCTCTGCCTTGGGGCCCTCACCCAGCACCTCCTAACTGGTCTGTGCCTCGTGACCCTGACATCACCCTCCCCCAGCTGTAGCTGGTTGGTCCAGGTGGATCTGACCCAGGGGAACCAACCCAGAGAACAGATGAACCAACCACATTCTTCTGAAAATGTCAACCGAAACATATTAAGACAGAGTGATTCCAAGATCTTTACAGCCCCAAAGAAAAGGTGATCTTTCCAACTCCCATATGTAATTCAAAACTTTCAAAAAAAAAAAAGACAAAGCATAAAATAAGGGACAGGAAGTGCAATAAAGTTCAGATTTTCCCCACAATGATTGTTCCAGTGCTCTTGAGTATTAAATTCTTCAAATTCTTCTACTTATTATTTATAACTTAGATGATTAATTTCTTGAATATGTGCAAGCATATTTGACTGTCCTTTATCTTTGGATTACCACATTCTGTTGATTCTTCTTCTGTAGTTGGCTTCATTCCTTTGATAACTATGTAAATTTAAAAAGCTAAAGCTCTAATCTGTTCTTAGAAACAATGATCAGTACATGTATGTAAACTAAAAAGCTATGTGCAGTATATTGTATACATGCATATAATGTATATGTGCAAACTGTAATAATTCTACTTAATAAAACTGAAAAAGGGGGAAAAAAAGGCAAAACCGCCTACAGTGCATTAACTGAAATGACAATTCAATTAATGGATAATCTGAAATGCCTTTATATATATGACATGTCCTTCCCCAAATGGAAGAGTGTCAGCTAAAATAAAACTTAGTTTTACCACTGTTAAAAAATATATAAGTAAATAAATAAAAACAAAAAGTTAATGGCACCCCCTGCCCCCTGCCCAAAGCCATGCTTGGCTGGCCTGTCAAGACAACTGGGTGCTGGGCCAGTTAGACGTGGGCCTGGGAAAAGAAAGGTCATAGACCGCTGGGAAAGAAAAACAGCCCTGGGGGTAGGGGACGGGTGGGAAGGCTGGTCACGACAGAGAGGGGACACAGAGGGACAGAGAGATGGGGTGGCCTCTGGGCTGGGTCTCCAGGCCCCGGGCCGGTGGGAGTGGCTTCTGCCGGTCACCGCCCCGCCCCCACGCGCCAGGCGCCAGGACCCCGCGGCCCCACGTACCGGTCATTGACGAAGGAGAACATGAGCAGCCTCTGCTCGATGAACCACTTCCACTCGGGGTTCTCGCTCTGCAGGTCGCGGTAGTTGTCGTTGGAGACGATGACCCCGTCCTGCTCGTAGGCCACCTTCACGATGTAGCGGTCGTCGTAGCAGACCACCCGCTTGCCGCTGACCTTGCGGGACGGCGTGTACACCAGCACCGCCTGCCTCTCCAGCTCCTCCAGCACGTGCTGCTCTGGGGGCCGCGGGGCGGAGAAGGCACAGAGCGCTTTCTCAGAAGGACGCCCCACCCCTAGAACCATCCTGGGATCACTGCTCCTCTCAGGGTTCCCCCTCCCCGCTGGTGCCCCCCACACTCGCAACCTCCGACCCGGTACTCCGCCCTTCCCAGGGCCCAGCCCAGCAGGTGAAGAGCGGGGAGATATGGAGGGAATTTGCCAGCAGCCTGAGGTCAAGAGGGCTTTTTGCTTCTGTCCTGCCTGTGTCATGACCACAATCCAGAGGACAGGACCCAGCCAAGGAGTCACACTTTGGAAGGATAAGTGAAGCCCCAGCTCTTGTGCTTGTGATGGTTATCTGCCACCACAGGAGACACAGAGGCCAGAGGCCTTCTTCTGGAGAAGGACATTCCTATTTTAACTAGACTCCTAGCACTGCCTTAGGGATGACTAGGAGTCCTGCATCCACCTGGAAGGCTCCCACGTGAGCCCTTAGCAAAGGGCCAGTGTCCACCCTCCCTGCAACACAGGAGTCTGCTTGGACACCTTCAGGACAGAGCAGCCCACAACTGACAGCTCTGAGGGACACAAGAATGTCACAGGGAGAGGCCAGGATTAGGAGTCTGGTCTTAGCTCTCGGGGTCTCACCCCTCTCTGAGCATCAGGTTTTGCGTTTATAAAATGAGGGAAATGGCTCCTGCACCTGCCTCACAGCATCTGTGGGGAGGGCCCCGTGAAGCTGGGGAGGAGGGAGCCTGTATCCAGTGGTGCAGATGTTACAGGGTCTCTAGTCAGGAGCTAAAATCTGCATCCCTGGATGGTCCACTCTTTGATAATAGTTTTGCCTTCAGAGACACGCAAAAGAAGTCCTTTCTACACATAACAGTTACTCCCAACATGGAAGAGCATTAGCATGTTCTTCACAAATCGTTTCTTCCCTCAAGTCTAAGTCCTTTCCTATATGATGTGGTTCCCAGACTTTAAAAAAGTACATAATGCATGTGTGGTATACAGACTCATTTTTTTAAAATGCCATGCGTGCATGCTTTGTAATGTATAAAAATATCAAATACTATGAAACTAATATAATATTGTAAGTCAATTATACTTTAATTAAAAATTATAATTAATTAACTAATTAAATGCCCTGTGTGCAGCACTCCCTTTGAGAAACAGAACACAGCCCATGCTTTGAAGTCTCCATTGCCCCTCCTAGTTTGCATCTCTCTTCACTCCTCTTAGGATAACTCAGTTTTTAGAAATTTGTGTTTATGATTCCCTTGCTTTCATTTTTTAAAATGCATATATATGTACCTTCAAAAGGACTATTTCCAATGTGATTATGAACCTCCAGACTTTACACAAATGGAATCATCTTGCACATATTCCTGCAACTTGTTTCTTCATTAAACATTGGGTAGGTGAAGTGTGCCATGTCATTGTGTAACAGGGAAGAACAAATATGACTCCATATTACATCCATTCCTTTAGCTCTAACCCTGTGTTCTGTATCCTGTGCTTAGTCATGCTGGCTCTGCACCTTTTGTAAAGAATGTTGCCTATTGCCTGAAATATACAGGAGGGCCCATTCTCAAGGTTATGATCTTTAAGAGTATAACATTTTTTTCATTCATTTACAGATTAAAAGTTGCGGAACAGAGGATAACATTTGTCTTGTTGGAGGTGTACAGGAACATTGTGACCTAATCTACAGGGGCAGCTGCAAGAACAAAAGATTCTGACATCAAGAAGTTGGAAACAACCAACCACACCCCCTTCCCTTTCTAGTATAAAAGAAACCTGAATTCTGACTTGAGTAAGATGGTTCTCCAGGACATTAGTCTGCCATCTTTTCAGTCTGCTGGCTTTCCAAATGAAGTTGTTATTCCTTGCCCCAACGCCCCGTCTCCAGATTTATTGGCCTGTCATGCAGTGAGCCGGACAAGTTTGGACTCAGTAACAACTGCTATCAGTTTTGCACAGAAGTGTCCTGGGACAGAAGAACAAGGATTTCTCTAGGGTCTGCCTCTAGGAGTGATATTGCTGACTTGTACGGGAAGGCACTTCATAAGATAATGCTGAATTGTTTTCCAAAGTGGTTATGTCAAGTTACTCCCAACACAGCATCTAAGCCGACCTTGCCAGCACTTGGCACTTGCAGGTTTTTGAATTTTTCCCAATCTAGTGGGTGTAACGTCACCTCTTGTTGTGATTTAATTTTGCACTTCTCTGGTTACTAATGCAATTGAGAATCTTTTCTCAATTGGCCATTTGTGTTTTCTCTTCTGTCAAAGGCCTACTCATGCTTTAGCATATTTTTCTATTGGTCCTTTGTCTTGGTCTTATTAATTTGGAGAAGTTCTCCATGGATTCTGGACAATAATCCTTCATCAGGGATATGTGATGTATTGCCTCTCCCAGTCAAAGACTTGTCTTTTTATCTTTTTGTTTTTGTGGTATCTGCTAATGAATAGGAGCTTTTATTTTAATGAAGTCAAATTTATGACTTTTTCCCTGTTCTTTGCACTTGCCATGGCTTGTTTAAAAATTCTTCCCTACTAGAATGATTTCCCTACTCTTTACCTATACTGTATTTAAATATTACACAACTGTTAAAAGCCACCATTGTCCATGTTCAGACCATAGAGAATAATCTGGGATAACCGGTTCATGATGAACAGAATATTTATCTCCCTTCCTCATAAATCCATTGAAAGGGCAGGAAAGAAATACAAAAAGGAG